TATCAATTCATCTCCTCAGGGTCTTCTTCTCCTGCGCTGTCTGTCTACCCATTGGAGCATAATGTCCTTCTCCAAGGATCGATCTCTCCTGGCCATGTGCCCAAAGTAAGTGAGGCGGAGCTTCAAAATCCTAGCCTCCAAGGATAGACTTGGTTTCACCCTTTCTAAGACAGACCTACTTATTTTCTTGGCAGTCCATGGTATTTTCAAGACTCTTCTCCAGCATCACAACTTTTTCCTGTCATCCTTAGTCATTGTCCAATTCTCTGAAGCATAACAAGTAATTGAGAAGACCATGGCCCGGATTAGGCACACCTTTGTATTTATACTGTGTAGCTTATCAAATTATTTGTTTAGCATTCAAATCAAATAGGTGTGGAAAGACTACGATCATTATGCACACCTTTCCTGCTTTTTTTTTTTTCACACCTTTCCTGCTTTTAAACTACGTAGTGTTCTCTTGCTCTGTTCGGACAACTGCTTCTTGATTCTTGATCTATGGACAGGCTTCGCATGAACACAATTAAGAGTTCTGGGATTTCAATTCTTCACAATGCTAGCCATAGTTTGTTATGATTCATACAGTCAAATACCTTTCCATTGTCAATAAACCACAAGCACACATCTTTCTAATATCTCTCCTTTTAGCCAAGACTCATCTGGCATCAGCAATAATGCTCTCTGTTCCAGTCTTTTAGAATCCAACTTGAAATCCTGAAAATTCCCTGCTGATGTACTGTTCCAGTTGCTCTTAAAATAATCTTCAGAAAGATTTCACTTGCATGTAATATTCATATTTAATAATATCACATTCTGTTGGATCACTTTTTTTTAAAAATTCTTTTATGTTGGTTTGCTTACAAAGTTCGTACACATTGTGTTTCACACTATTCTTCACTCACATTGTGTTTCTTACGATCATTCCTATTCATTACATTTTACAAAATTAATCACCATTGAACTATACGCATCATTAATTACCCTGTTGCTTCAGGTCCTACCAGATCTTTCCCATTTCTTTTAACCTCTCTTTCCACCCACCAAATTGTGCAAGCCTCTAGCTTCACCCCTACCCGTCCTCACCCCTCTGCTCCTACCTCTCCCCCACCCCTTCGATCCCTATACATATTTTACTAGTTGTCCTTCTATTTTTACAGTAAAGGTCTTATATGGATCTCTTCCAGTCAATTGGCCAGGTAGCTCCCTTTCAAATTTCTTGGCATATGCTAGTGAGCATATACAGGGCTCCATCTATTTGTGGGAACATATCAACTGGCATTCCATCAATTCCTAGGGCCTTATTTTTTGCCAATGTAACTTGAATGTCTTCCTTCATCATTACTGGCTCTTGATCATATGCTATTGCCTGAAATGGTGCCATGTGGAAAAAAAATCTTTTTGGTACAGTGACTCTGTATGTTCCTTCCATCTTCTTTTGATGTTTCCTGTATCATTCAAGATTTTGCCCAAAGACCCTGTAGTATTATTACAACTTGAGGCTTGAATATGTTTTTCAGTTCTTTCCGTTTAAGAAATGCCAAACATGCTCTTTCCTCTTGGTTTTCTAACTCCAGCTCTTTGGACATTTCCTTATAATACTTTCCTCTGTCTTCCTGAGCTTCCCTTTTAAATCTTCTGTCAAACTCTTACTTGAGCATTTGTTCTCCTTGCTTTTTTTTTTTCAGTATAAGTTTCAGAGCTTCTTCTGACATTTTTGTTCCTTCCTGTCTTTGTAATGACCTTTTGCTCTCTTCAAAGATGATGTACTTGATGTCATTCCTCATCTTGTCTGGTTTAAGGTTATTAGTGTTCAATGCATCAAAACCATTTGTGAAATGGTCTTTTAAATTCAGGTGGAACAGATTCATGGTCATATTTTGGTTCTCGTGAGCTTCTCTGCATTTTCTTCACTTCAACTGAGTTTGTGTATTAGTTGATGGTCTGTTTTATCAGGCTCCTGGCCTGATTTTGACCGCTGATACTGAATTTCCCCAATGTATGTCTTTTCCTCTGAGGTAGTCAATTTGATTTGCGTAATTCATCAAGCAAGGCACATGTGTACAGTTGTTACATTTTTAAAAAATTTATTTGCAATGAATAAATTACTCATTTTACAAAATATTATCATTAGATCTCCAGCTTCATTCTGTCACCAAAAACAAATTTTCCAACTATCATTCTTTCTTCTTTGTAACTTTTCCATTCTAGTCATTAATCATCTTGATTATATGTTTGATCAACGGCAGACTGCAGAGTTAGTAAAAGTCTCAATTTTTTCCTCTTTGGCTTTTGTGGGTGCTGCATCTATTTGAGTAATAGGTGTATTAACAGGTCTTTTTTTATATTTATGGATTGTATCCTATCACTCACAGCACTGTACTTCCTAACAGATCCTAAAATGCTCTTTGTTGATGAATGCAATACCGTTCCATTTTGTCATTCCCATTACAGTAGAACACGTATGATTAAAAATGGCCAGTATCAGTGCATCTCAACTCAGCAATGACTAGGATGCTGATCTTTATGTGTTTCATTTCACATTTTACAGCTTCCAGTTTTCTAGATTCATATTTCATGAATTCCATGTTCTAGTTTTAATGGATTTTGTAGCTCTTTCTCCTCATTTTGAGTCTTGCCATATTATTTTTTATATAAAAGAATCTGGTACAGTCACCTCATAAATATGTCTGATATCTGATATTTCTAACTGATCTTATTCTAAATACAACATTTTTATAAAGTTATTCATATGCAAATTCTATTATTTTTTTTTAAAAAAGTATTGTCTTTGGAAGTTCTTTTTATCTCCATGAATAAGAAATCAAATTAAAACAAATACCTTTAAAAGAAAGGAATTTCCTGAAATGTTATCATGTGGTAAGTAGACAGTTCTGACAACAAATGATATTTAGAGCAAAAATTCATGGACTTGGGTTTCATGCTATTTTTTACTCATCTCATACTAATTCTATACCTATAACAACAACAACACAAAGAGAGAGCTCTGTTGGCACAGTGGATAGAAAGTTCTATTACCAAGCCAAAGGTGGGTCATGTTCATCTATGGCCCTCATGACTGGTTTTAATTGTTTTTGGTCAAACATTCTAAGTGGTATAGCACTGGTCTGTCTATTTGCTGTACCTCGTGGTTGCTGGGATGCTAACCACTGTGACACTGATGTGTCAAATGTGATAATGGTTACCAATGGTGGACAGTGTTTGGTGGAGCTCCCCAATTAAAACAAACTTGGAAGCAGGAGTGGCATCCACTTCTGATATAGCTTGCCTCTGCAAACTATGAACCTAGAGAAACTATGAAAGTTATACAAAAGTTCAGGTCTTATCATTTACGGGGTTGCTTTGAGTCTGACACAACAACAACATCAACATACAGAGAGCTCTGTTGGTCTAGTGGATAGAAAGTTTTGCTATCAAGACAAAGGTAGGTTATTGAAATCTGCAGCCCTCAAGCCTGGTTTTAATTGTTTTTGATCAAACATTCTTCTATGGTATACAACTCGTCTGTCCATTTGCTGTATAGAGGTAACTCATGGTTGCTGTGATGCTAAACATTGTGACACAGATGTGTCAAATGTGATAATGGTGGACAGTATTTGGTGAAGCTTCCCAATTAAAACAAGCTGGGAAGCAGGAGTGATATCCACTTCTGAAATAGCTTGCCTCCAGAAACTCTATGAACTTGGATAAATGATTAAAGTTACTCAAGTGTTCAGGTCTTTCGTTTATAGGGTCTCTGCACTTAACAATAACAACAACATAACTACTGAAGTAGAAAAAAGCAATATTAAGGACAAATGCAAAGATTAAGAAAGAAACTATAATGAAATCATAAGAAAGAATCCCCCTTACATTGTCACAACTTCTAAAAAAATCTCATAGCAAAAGAAAATCTGCCTATAAAATGTTATTTGTAATCAATAATAAAGGAAACAAAACTTTCCTTACCTTGTTCCCACTAACTCTTCATCATTTTTCCTGCCAAATCTTTCTCTAATTATTAACAGTAAAATGTCATTAGTGAGAACACTAAAAAGCATAAATTCCCTAATAGTGTTCTCATGTTTAAAATTCTGACAGACACATCAAAATAGAAACAAAAGGCTGAGAAAACACTTGTCAGAATTCAGTAAAATATCAACTTAATTAAGGTACTTGATTAAAGTACTTGAAAATACTTCAATGTTACAATGGCATGAAATTTCTAAATGTGCTTCTTAAAAAGTGTCAAATGATCACAAGTAAAATTACAGAAGAAACTCTCGTCTCTCAATTGATTATTTTTGTTTTTTTTAACTTAGTAAATCAAGAAATCAAAATTAAATCATCAAATACAATTATGTACTTTTTAATTTTTATTTATTATGTATTTTGTTTTATCTAAAAAAAAACACAGCAAAAGCAAAAACTAGCACTTCTAAGATTAAAGCATATTTCACAAACTTTTTGATCTTATACATAAATAGAAAGAAAACAATTAAGGTCTATGGGTAAAAGAGCCTAGAGGAAAAAGTTATTATTTCAAAGCTCATGAATGTTATTTATGGTTTTCATATCCGAACCAAATTCACCAAAGCTGTTTCAGTACAAGGATAACTTTCTAACATATTTTCTAAAAGTTCAAATCTAAAAAAAAATCCAATACTGTAAAAATCATACATAAGAATTATCTCTATAAGTTAAAGTCTCAAATTAAGGATTTTTTACTTAAGATTCTAGTCTCTAAAATGCCAAAATTAAAAGATTTCATATGGAAGAGCTATTAGCCCTATCTCTAAAAAATTTACCAAAATCTAATCTCCAACACTAAGTAAATAATCACAGAAGTAAAAACTTAAAATTCTTAAGATGTAGGCATAGAAGGTGGTCAGTAAAATTAAAAAAAAATAAAAAAATGAAATTCTACATTGTGCTTTTCCATGTCAAAATTCTCTGGTTTAAGAGTTACAACATACTGAATCTAATGTACATAAAAGTTTTACCTGTTTGGCTTTAGAGTTCTTCCCAGCAGAAGTTTTCTCATTTGCACTTCCATCCATTCCTCTAAGAACACCGATGAAATCTTTCTTAGAAACAGTTGATATCAACTTAGCACGCTTCCTCATGGAACTTCCAGCTTCTTTAACTTTTTCGTCAATTTTCTTTTGATGTTTTTGAACAGCATTAAATAATTGTACCACACCTCTATGGAATATAAAATAATGAGAACAATGGAGTTAAATAACAATCACACTAGAAGGTGAACTCTGTTAGAGTTGGGGCAATGTATTTTCATTGCACAGAAAAAAGGAAAGGACTTAAATGAAAGTATTAAGTAAATAGCTAAAAACATGAGAAAAATGAGCACATATTTGAGCAAATGAACCCAGATTTCTGATAGAGAGAATAAACGTATTTGAGTTCTTTTTGGTATGTGACTGCTATGTGACTTTTTCTGCTTTAGTTTTTCTAAATTTCTGTAAGTAGAAATGAAAATTCCTTTTAACTCAAATATTTCTCAAATGAAATTATGTAACTGTTGAAGGTATCACAGAAAGCTATGGATTGACATACTGACTCCTGTACCTGTGAATTTGAGTGTGATCAGAAACAATCAAAGGTCTTTCTAGGAAGATGCTTGTTAGTAAGTCCATACCTGGGTAGTGTGGGTCCTTTGCTACCTAAAAGATGGTTTAAAAAGGAGGAAAATAGATACAGAAAAACAGAAAGGAAAGATTCTAGGTGAAGATGCATCTACAAGCCAAGAAACATCAAGGATAACGAGGAGTCACCAGAAACTAGGAGAGGGGCCGGGAATGTCTGACAGAAGGTATCGACAGGGTAAGTACCATCACTGGGGCACCTAGGCTCTAGAATCATGAGACAATAATATCTATTCTTTAAAGCCATCCACTTCGATGGTTATTTTTTTTATAGCAAAGCTAGGAAACTAAGACATAGTTCACAAGGAATTGCTGCTCAATACCATAGCCATTAGCCTCACATGACTGGCCGAGAAGTGAGATATACTCGAAGTATAAAATAGATAATCAGATTTCAGAGATTTACTATAAGAGAATGAAAAGTTATCTCATTGTTTTATACCAATTATATGTTGAAATGATAGTGGATTAAGTGAAACATATCATACCCATTAACTTCACTTCTCTGTTTTCCCTCCACATGAAAATTGGAAAATTTCCTGAAAGCAAGCAGCTAAAAAAAGATAGTACTGGGATTTGACTAGTTCTATCACAGGTGTTCTTAAACACCGTACCTCACTCACTATACCAAGGTACACCACTTCCATGGATTCGAAAATTACCAAGACAATGTAATTAACTAAGATCTCAAAACTAATACTACTTTATATACTGGGTACATTCTTTATGCAGCAGGCTAAATATCATCTCTTTGGTGATGCTTTTTCCAGCTACAAGACAATCTCTTGTTCTATGCTCCCTGCACATAAGCAGATTAACTCTATTCTTAGACTGCAATCGATTACTTTCACTCATACAGATAAGTGGGCAGGAACCACTCAGTAGCCACCACATCTCTGGACACAAAGTACATTAAATGAATGTTTGGTATTGATGGGGGAAAAAAGTAGCATGAAACAGTAGCATGATGCTGTTGTAATACATGTGTAAAGTGCGATGACTTACGATACCAAGGGCCCTCTGGTGTCCTAGCAGTAAAAAGCTGTGCTACCAACCTGAAGGCTTATGGTTTGAAGCTGCTTTGAACCTACTCCACTGGGAACAAACAATCTTCTCTCTCATGATATACTGCCTCTGAAAACCCACTGGAGGGTCAGCTGTAGTTGGTTTCAACTCGACAGTCTTAACCACCAGCACCATAAATTTAGATAACCACCACAACAGAGGCCGGAATACCCTGTTCCTGTGATCATGAAAACACGATCTGGAAGAGCTTCATACTGAATATTCACTTAGCACATGAGATCTGCAAATTCTTTAGCTGATTACAGTATTGACTAGACAGGCTTAGATAGAAATCACTTGGTCCCAAAAGGCAGGTGTAAGATTCAAATGCAACAAGAAACACATCATGATCAAAGCTTTACTACACTTATTTTTTAAAGGGCAAAATCACTGTCTTACCTTGTTGCAATCCTCTGGAGATTCCTCTCTGTTTCTTTGTCTTTGACAGCATCTGGCTTTACTCTGCACATCATTTCCCACTCCCGCTTCTTATCAAGCTGTGTTATAAATATTGTAATGTGAAAGAATATTAGGTATTTTTGAAAGTGCAGCATACTTTGATATGATACTCTGTGAAAGGACAAAGGTAATAAATCATTCCGGCTTAGTTTGTCACTGAGACTTTCAAAGAATCCAGTTTTGGGGGTGCAGCTCAGGGAGTCTGTGGTTAGACTTGGCGTGCCATGTGAGAGGCACCAAGTGAGCTTCTGTCAGGTCGGACAGCAGGAATCTGGAGAGCTGCCAGCATTTCAGTCAGGCAGTACACGGCAAGGGTCTGAGAGGGCCACATGTTTGACAGCTACATCACCAGATAACCACAGCTAAGACTCCTAACTACTTACTGTTCTGGTAACTCTAAGTTTGAGTACTTTTTATTTTCAGAAAATGACTTCTTTAGCAACCAGAATTATTAAAAATGTCTATCTACTTTTAAAGGAACAGCATCAAATCCAAGTTCTGTATGTCCAGGATAGGGTGGAGTTCAGATCCACTTATGTCACAGTCGATTCAAGGACACTTAATAACAGTATCTTTATTTACAGCAAATAAAGGTAATTTGTATCTTTTCTTGCCGCCCATCTGACTAATGTAGCTGTCATATAAAGCATTTTAGTCACAAACTAGAGCCGAAAGCAGAGAAAAGGGAAGTGCAAAATAAGAAAGAAAATCCTAAAGACAAAATAATCTAGCTCAAAATTGTATTCTGCAGTATCCACATTCCATGCATCTGATAAGATAAATAATTTCTCTGGGCTCCCTTCTTAAGTCATTATGTCACAATTATCAAATATATTGAATACAATGATTAAGGATGACAGAAGACGAATCGATGCCTTTGAGTTGTGGTGCTGGAGAAGAATCTTGAACATACCATGGAATGCCAAGAGAATAAATAGGTCTGTCTTGGAGAGGGTGAAACCAATTTTCTCGAAGCTAGGATTTTGAAGCTCACTACTTTGGGCACATGGCCAGGAGGAAGCTGTCTGTCATTGGAAAAGGACATCATGCTTGGAAAGGTGAAGGGGTAGTACAGGAGAGGAAGACCTCAGATAAGAGGAGTTGATACAGTAACTGGGGCAATGGGAATAAGAGTGTCAGCATCAGTGAGCCTGGCTCAGGACAGGGCAGGATTCAGAACTGTTGTACATAGGGTAGCTATGAGTTGCAGTCAACTTGATGGCACACAGCAAAAACAACAACTAATCACAAGAAGTTGGAAAGCACCAAAATATTAAGAAGGGCCAGTGAAAATGTTTCCTTTTATCTCCTCATTTTCTCCACTCATGTATTTCTCATTTTGTATTAATGAAAATATTCACAAAGTAAATAAAATTCGTATTCTTAGTATAAGGATTAGTGTGATTGCTGAGTAACAGCTTTTCTCCAAATCAGATAACTGATTTTAATGATCATAAAATTCACTGTCATAGTAATTCAGACTATTCCATTAAAATAAATTAATTTCAAACAGTCCTGCCAAGCCAACGACACATGGTTCAAATTCACCGGCCAGTCTGCAGGAGAAAGACAATCTCCTCGTCTCTGATTTACAGCCTTTGAAAACTTGCTGGAGGCTGAGCTATTAATCAGTTCTAACTCAACAGCTTATATACAACAATAGCACAGTACTCAAAGAAGAATAGACAGTAGTAACCTTACAATGTTTTGTGGTTTGTTGAGATGTTTGGTTTGTTTTTTTTTTCTTGTTTATTTCAAAAGGTACTTTTATAGTTATAATTAGAAATATAGTTGATATACTAGAAACTCTAAATGAGAACATTAAGAAATAATGAGAATTTATGTAGACTCTACTTACAAATGTACACAAACTGAAATCAATGCTACTTCAATCAAATTGATTCTCGGAGCAACCTTGCAGAACAGAACAGAACTGCTCCACAGATTTATCAAGACTGTGAATCTTTACAGTAGAATGTCTAATGTTTCTCCCTCAGAGTAACTCAGGCTCACATCACTGACCTCTCAGCTAATAGCGTAGTATTTTATCCACTGTGCCACTATGGCTCCTAAAATATATGCAAAGCGCATTTGTATTTGCTCTGACATGTTTCTGGCATACATTTTCTTGCAGGCTTACATGTACACTATATATGTACAGTCTCTAACATCTGAAGCTGTGGCTTAGAACAAAGTTAGAAACTTTTTCCTCTCAGCGTCAAAATGCCTACAATTGTACTACTTGAACTGGAGAATATGAAAGATTTTTTTTAAAAAAAAAACAAAAAGCCTTTTCTAGCTTTCTAAATAATAAAAAAGATTAAATAATAATAAAAACTCATCACTAAGTTTTAGAGACACAATTGATCTTTAAGTACAATGAGAAGAATGGATTACTAATAGAGTACAGTCTATTTCCCAGAGCAATGCTTGAAAAGTTCTACCTTTCTATTACCTTTCACACAGAGCAACCAATATTAGGAATAAAGAAATATTAATCTTTAGACAAGAGGATGGTGAATATAAAAGGAAATACATGACAGTTCAACTTTATTTTTCTTTTATTCCTCAGGCATGTTGTCAGGAGGGGCCAGTCTATGGAGAAGGACATCATGCCATCATGCTCAGAAAGGCGGATGGTCAGTGTCAAGGTAGGAGCCCCTCAACAAGATGAACTGACACCGTGACTGAAACAACAGGTTCAAGTATGTCAGAGATGGTAAGGATGGTTCAGGACAGGACACGGTTCAGATTCACTGCTCACAGCTGACACAATGGCACATAACAACAAACAAATTGTTGCCTCACTTAAGAGTCATAGTTAAAAGTTAGTGTTAACATGTCCATGTGTGTCAAGAGTACAAAACTGTATTTTACAGGATTTCCAGAGGCTACTTTGTCAGAAGCCTTTCTTCCAAATCATCTTTGGGTGAACAAAAAACCTTCAAATTTTCAGTGAGCAGTTGAGTGCATTAAACATTTACATTACACAAATAATCTCCCTGTAAATTATTAGAAATTAGCACTTTAAAATTATATTGCCAATGATTGTAGATTATTTTTCTTCTTTTATAAAATAATACATATTCTAGTAACTATTTTAGACAGAGAAACGTCAAGTATAAAGTGTTTCCTTATGCTTAAAAGTCAGCAAATTCACATTTAACTTTTGAGCTTTAATTAGCTAACACCTATCAACAGAGTTATAAAATGCAAAATGAATTCAAATTGACCTAAAAATAATACATTGCCTTCAAGTCAGAATTAACTCATAGCTGATCTTAATTTTTGGAGGCTGTAAACTGCACGAGAGAATTCCCATCTTTCTCCTATGGTGGTGCTGTCTGAGTTGCAGTGCAACTCCCTATGGATTATGCCATAAGCCATCGAGTTTATCTAGTAGTAGCAATACAATCAGTTTACAGAACTGCAACCATCTCTTTGCTTGTGACTTCTACACAGATTTAAAATAGAAAACAGGTTTTCATAAAAAAGTAATTAGCATGTCTCTTAGAAAATATAAATACAATGATGAGTTTGAGACCAGAAAAAGTCAGTACACAGCAAATTAAAATATTTATACCCAGTAGTCATTGCCACACTTATAATCATTAAATTTTAAAAGAATAAATTTCCTTGAAATTTACATTTGTATTGCTTGGCTTTGATGATTAAAAGAGAACATGCTCAATGACATAATTTACACCTAACATATCTACCCTTACATAAAAAGAAAGTTTAAAAATGGAATGTAAATTGTGCAACAATGAATAAATGGAAATCTAAAGTCTTTGTAAACTCTCATTAAAATAAAAACAAACACAAACAAAAAACTGGAATGTAAACTGAGTAAATACTACAAAGAACAATTTGTTACAGATAAGAATGAGATAAGACAAATTAATCTAAAAGACAACTTGTAAACACACCTGTTTTCTTTTCTCTAGTCTCTCTTGCTTTAGCCTTTCTTTCTCCTTTTCCAACTCTTTGTTTTTGATCAGAATGCTGGGTTTGCTTTTAGGAGTCTTTTTGTTAAGAATTTTAGCCATGGCATCTGCCCAGCCTGTATTTGTCCCAATACCAGATTCAGCAGCATTTTCATTTTCTTTGTCACAGGGTTCATCATCTTCTTCATTGTCAGCATCTATTGCTTCATCATCAGGAGAAAAGTGATCCTCTTCAAATCTACAACTTCCTACAGAATCTATAAGCAGAAACAAATGAAATTGTAATACCCTAGATAGATGTGCCCAAAGTAATGACGTGGGACCCTTCATGAAGCTAGCAGCTTTATGTCTATTGTAGAATGAGATTTGTACAAGACCCACAGCTACAGAAGCAGTGAAGAACAAAAACCCCTTTATTCTACTTGCATCAACCTCCAAAGACCTGACCAAATCAGGTAGCTAGGGAAAGTTATAATGGCTGCAAGATCTAGGACCCAGGCAGCAGAAATCAACCAGACATCCCCACCACATCACAGCTATTTAGGCTGGTGACAGAGTCTGAGACATGAAGAGATTAATAAAGATTATGCTAAAACCAAGTAACAACAAAACCCTTTCAGCTACTAAGAAAATGGTACAGTACTATTAAACTAGCTTCTCTGATGATTTGGCAGATATTTAAAATCCTGAATCCTTATTTAAGAAAAAAAGAAAAACCATTTTCATTTATGTAATTCTAATATAATATTGTGATACTATTTCAATATTTTTATTTAATTATATAATGAATTTACTTATGTCTTCAATATAGAGATGATTCAATTATAAGATATGACTGTGTAATATATACATCCACTCCTCACTTAATGGTATTTTAAGTTTCAGAGATCAAGTTGTTAGTGGAAAATAGACATTATGTAAAATGTAAGAGGATCACATCAGAGCATAGAAAGGAGAATGGCTACATCTTTACATAGCTGCTAAATTCCATCACTGCACAACTACTACCAGACCACTGAGAAGCGGAGCCCAGTCATGCTGGCACCACAGCTTAATCACCATATATAATGGAAACTAAGCTCTCTATAAGAAGACAGAAAACTGATGTCTTTGAATTACTGTGCTGGCAAAATATATGGAAAACACCATGGATAACCAGAAGAATGAAGAACTGTATCTCAGGAAAAGTATAGTCAGAATGTTTCTTTGAGGTGAAGATGGTTTGTCTCACATACTCTGAATATATTACCTAGAAGAGCCCATCTATGGAGAAGGGCATCATTCTTGATAAAGTGGATCTGTACAAATGATGAAGACTCTCAATGAGATAGACTGACACAGTAGCTACTACAACAATGGGCTAGCTTAAACTTATCAAAGACTATGTGAATAGTGCAGAGCCAGGCAGTGTTTCATTCTCAAGCACTCAGAACTCAAGTGCACCTACCAACAATAGTAAATACAATGCAGAGCAGCTATAGGGAGTTATGTTGCTCACCTAAAAATAACTGTTCTGAATCCACCAGCAGCTCTGAGGTACAAAGATGAGTAATATCCTCCCATGTAATTTATAGCCTCTGAAAACTCAGCTCTGCAGGGTCAACTATGAGTCAGCTCCAACAAAACAGCAACGATTGGCTAACTGCATCAAAATAAAATATAATTTAAAGTAACATTAAAAGGAAAAAGAAAAAAGAAGAGGGGTCCTAAACATAAAGATTCCCTGATACTCCATACTTAATTCAATTCTGATATCCTCTCATTCAAATCTGAATAATCCATAGCCTCAAAACATTGTGTTTCAACTGCTCTGTATCTATCTAGGCTTTTTTGCTTTCTACTTTCTGCTTGTTGTTACTGTTACAAGCCATGAAGTCTTGAGGAAGCTACTCATAGCTGACCTTAAAGAGGGTTTTCGGAGGCTATAAAGTTATATAAATTGCACTGGGTATATCTGTCCCTTAGAGCTGCTCGTGCATTAACAGTGTTAAGTACTTATCGCTAGGTCAATAGAGCTCCCTAATTTCTGCTTAATCCACTCTTTGCTGCTGTCACTTCAAAACAACAGATTCTTTAACCCCAAATTCTGGGTGTTTTCTTTAGATAATTTCAACAAAATGTACACACTCTTACTATTGTTATAGCCTTTTTTATAATAGCTCAATACCATATCCAAAGAAAAAAAAGAAGCAAGACAGGCAGATATTAATTTCTATTCAAAATCCCTTGATTTTAAGCCATGAGTTAAGACAGAATTTCTGGAAAGACCTGACATTCAGGAAATGATTTTAAAACTTATTTTTGACATGCTGAAAATGTGTAAAGATGGAAAGAATATGGAGCTACATATTTGGTACTGTATTTCAAATAAAAATAATCTATAACTCATTGTTTGTTGCTGTCCAGTTGGACATATTTTAAAAAAGCGTAAAGGTCTGTCCAAAAGTGAAACTCAAAACACATGGATAAAAATTACATCTTTTCAGTAGTACCACCTACAGATGCTGGTAATAAGTAAATCTCTAAAATAGTCCTTCTAAAAAAGTCCTTTCTAAATGTGAAAAGGCAAGAACACTTAAAACTTTACATCACTAAAGAATATCACAGAAAGGAACAAATACTGCATAAGACCACTGTTAACAAAAATAGGATGAACATGGAAGGGGAGAAGAACAGGAAAACAATGAACTAGGTGAAGGGAAAGACTATCCGAAAGGAATGGAAGATGAGGCATTATATGTATGCCAATTAACAATCTGGAACAAGACAGCATTACAAAGTGAACTTGGGGAGGACTAAGAAGACAGGAGGAAAATGTGGATCAAACAATGAAGTCATACCCAACCTTTCTGTAAACTTTAAAAAGTCACAGCTGGGGAGAGAGGAAAGCAGAGAATTCCTGAAACTGCTTCTGGTAAAACATCAGAACTACAACACTGACATCTAGTGTTTTGCACTGATCAATTCACAAAGAAATTGGAGTAAATTCAAAAGACTTTATGACGGTCAATGCTACCAAGTCAATTCCAACTCCAACAGATCAAGGCTGTGTCGTATAGTCGCACAGGTGATTATCTTAGAGGAGTGACCTACTGCATTTCTTTGACAATCTGACCAACCACTCCAATTTCTGCTTTCAAATCCTAACTATCTTTTCTTCAGCACGTGTCTTATCCAACTTAACTATCACAATATGCGTTATTATGGGCAAAATAGATCCACAAGAAATTTTAAAAACATCATTTCCACCACCTGTACACACTTCATCAATATAAAAAGTTTCAGACGAATTCACTAGTATTTTCCAAAAGATGTACTAGCTCAGGGACTTTCAAGCAAGCATTTTCTACCAATAGAAATAGTGATGTTTTCTATAAATAAATTTAAAATGTCAACATAATAAGTTTTTCCAGCACAATGAAAAACAGGATTTACTTCTCAGATACCAAGGATTATCATTATGCAAATTAGAAGAACTGGTTCTTAAAAACTGGTTCTTAAACTGGTTTTTAAATATCTGCTGTATTCTACCAAGATGAGACTTTTCAAATTATCTCTTAACAGCTGGATGTAGCAAAGAGTCTGATGGCACAAACAGAAATCACCAGATAAATGATTCCAATTCCATTTCTCATCTTAAATTTAATTATAATTTTGCATTGTTTTAAAAGAGTCATATCTGACCTTAATTAATTCATTACGCTGACTCTTTTATAAGGCATGAGAGTATATTCTGAAACATCTATAAAATGTTTAAAGGCAAAATAAACAAAATAAAAATGTGAGAGTTAAGGAAGATGTTTGGGTTAAATTGTCTTGTAAAAGCTGTGTTCTAAAACCTAACCTCTATGCCTCTGTGATGATCCCAGATGAGACTGGATTTTGTTTTGTCAATGATAAAGTCAAATAGCTGGGGAGATAAAATTCATTTCATTATCATTACAAGTCAGCCTCAGATCTTGGTTATAACCCATATCCCATTATGTGAGGGAATTACCATGTACATGTGACATTTGACTTTATTTCAAAGCAGACACATATACTGACCCTTCATTAATCACACAGGAGACTGCTCATCTTTCTCCCATGGAACAGCAATGTATCTGTTCTGTATTTTTTAAAATAATGATACTACGAAATAGCTAAGAGGTTATAGCTAACCCTCAAGTAAGTTGTCAGAGACTGTAAATTACATAGGAGAATCTCTTCTTCTACAGAGCAGCTGGTGGTTCGAGCCACCTGTTTGGGTTGGCAGTACAAGTCTCTTCTGTCCTATGCTTTTCAATATAATGATATATTGATATATAATTCAATATAATGATATATCAATATAATGATAATCATTAGCTAAGAGGTTCCTGGGTGAAGCAGGTGGCTTGTGCTCAATTACTAACTGAGAAAATGGAAGTTGGAATCCACCAATAAGACTGCTTCTATAAAGAGCACAGACACGAAAGCACAATGGAGCTAAGCTACACATGGAGTTACTGAATTGAACGAACCTCACAGTTACTGTGTATGGTCGGATAGGAATTGGCTCATAGTTAAACCTCTCCCCTAGCAGGTTTTCAGAGACTGCACATCACACGGGAGGAGACTGCCTATCTTTCTCCCTTGGAAAAGATGGTGGATTAGAAATGTCCTTGGGATTGGTGGTGCAATTCCTTGCCATTAATCCACCAGAGCCCCTGCAACCTCATAGCAGCAAATTTTAACATGTATAGAAAGCACAACTCAAAAACTCAACTCAGAACAATTCATTGCTGACCCTACACTGGATTTCCCAGGCTATAAATTACATAAGAAAAAGCTGTTTATATTTCTACCCTGGAGCCACTTGTAGTTGTTGTTATGTGCCATCAAGTTGCCTGCGACTCACAGTGACCCCATGTACAACAGCCCTAAACCCTGTTCTATCCCGTGCCAATCTTATTGTCTCTGATACACCTACCCCCATTACCCCTGCCACTAAATCTATTACCCCAGTCACTGAATCAATCCATCTCACTGAGGATCTTTCTCTCCTGCGTTGTCCCTCCAATCTCCCAAGCATGACGTCTGTCTCCAATGACTGGTCTCACCTTGCAACATGTCCAAGTTATGTCAGATGAAGCTGGAGCCACTGGTAACTTCAAATCAACAGAGGCTTGGCCTTTGCATTAACTGTACCATTCTCTACAGACTATACCAAGAGAGCGTCCCCGTACCAAAGGCTAGGTACTACAAAGCATTTTTACTGCAATTTCATTAAATCACA